TTGCACAGCGGTAGTGTCACTGACCGAAAGTTGTCATGGATCAGCCAGCCGTGATTTCAATGCTTTGTCGTCAAGAGTCGACCCATGTCGTAACCTCCCTATTCGGCAGCTATCAAAGTGTCTTCCATCCCTTGAATACGCTTTAAACATTGCGATCTCTGAACAATGCTCGATGACTGCACTTGAGACGTGTTGAGAAGCGTGCAGGGGAGCTAGGCACGTGAGGAATCTGAGTGGGAATCACCAATGGTTTGAGGATCCCCTGCCGCGAAACTACAAAGGATGGTTTATATGGTTCCTTCCCTCGTTCCCTGCGCAAGGTGGGTGGAGAGCCAGGGAAGCGTACTGCGCTCATTTGCACTTGTGGCCTCACGAACAGAAATCCGGCACGCCCTCATGACCCCAGATTAATCCACCTCACACATTCAAAGGCGGAAACAAATGGGTTCGCCCGAAGGAGAGGATATGAAAAAGGACTCCTAATTTTCAGACAAGCGTTCGAATCGCAATGGGTGATCAGCTTCCGTGTATTTAGTGGTTTGGAGCCCGGTGGCTTGGTTAAGGAGGGGTTTCCCATGTACCCTCTACAAGAACCAGGGCTTCAAGATCCCGAGTCCCATGACCTCCGCCGACCTCCGCCAGGCCACGGAGACAAGACATCAGTGCTGTCGTAGGCCAGGACCTCCGCTCGCCCCTCTTTCCGTCCCGAAGGCACGACTTGAGATTCGAAGACATGGGCCGCAAATTACATGAATCTTCCAGTAGCGACCGGAACCCCGTTTATTGGAACCCGTTCCGTGTCCCGTTTTATGATTCAACTACCCCTCACCACAGCTCGTCCCAATCCAGCCTGGTCCGCGACATCGCACATCTTCAGGACCTGCCAGGCGAATGGCCCCGTGAACGAAAGCGCCCAATTCTGACTCCTGGTTTCAAACGGAAACTAAAAGCAAGCCAGGCATTTTCGGGGTTTCCTACACCGAGTTGGGGGGCCGTCTTTCTTGATGCTACCCAATTTCTAAAAGGTTCCCTGTATTTCTCCCTGAAACATCACCCCACCATTTATTGAACGGGCCAAAAAGGTGATGTTCAAAACGGCCAAAAAGGGAACCATGGGGCGCCCTGCTTTTCATGCCACCCTGTCACCCAACAAATCTGCGAGATCCACGTTTCTGGAGCTGAGCATGGCGCATCTGCCATGGTGGCCAGCCACTTCTTCATGGGAGTGCCGGACCAGCGCCCAGTCTCCTGGCACCAGATGCGACACATCCGCGGTTTGCTTTGGTTTTTGTTGGAACCCCACAAACGGATGATTCCTCGGGGGGGAAAAAAAGCATGGCGGACTTGGGGTTCCAGGTTAAACTGGGGAGCAGCCCTTTCTGCTCCATGGTTAAAAAAGGAATTGGGGGTCAAATCCTAATCCCACCCAAGAACCCGGACATTCACAACCCAAGAACCCGGACATTCGGAAGAGCAACCTCTGCCCTTAATGACAAATTTCCTTACGAGGGCATCGGAAACATAGGTCTTACTCCGGAAAATTGGGTGGTCTCAACTGCGGAAATGTTGGGTGGGCCCAAGCCAGTAGACTATGACTTGTCAGCTCATAGAATGGGCTCGATGCTGGGCCGCTGGAAGCTTGAAATGTCTCCCTCTGAGTTTCTGGGCCAGCCACGTGAAGCTATCCCAAGCGTCAGCACAGGAAAAACGAAAAACGCGAAGCCGGAATCAACAACCCAATTGACTTCTCACAAGAGCCACGGACTGGAAGGCACGGGCCCTGGTTGTTTGTGAAAATTTAGGTCTCTTCAAGGTCCTTCCATCTGGTCCATAAGCTCAGGATCTGTGTGCCTTGCAAAGGATCTCATTTTCCAAAAGGCCTCTGTGCACTTCAAACATTTTGCGGACAGACCAGCGAACCGAGACAAAAGTGCACTTGCAAGTCCAGATGCACGACCTAAGCCGGGATGCTTTGACTCAAAAAACAAGAAGAGCGCATCCTTTAAGGAGTCCAACCAGAGACATGTCCTTTGATCCGTTGGCCCCCCCTTTGTAGCAAAGACCCGACCCACCCGGTTTAACTTTTGTCGTTTTGTCGCTGCGCAGGCCTCTGCGCGGTTCCGCTGGCGGCAGTCGGACTCCGCACGGGAGATAAGGAGGGCCAAAGTATAGATCTGATAGCCTTGCTCCTGGGGACAAACTCCTGTTGCCAAAGTCTGCGACGTTGGAGGTGCATCCGAGCCCTTTTAATATCAGTACGCTGTGCAAATGGCATGTCTCTGGACAAATTCAAAGAACCTTCAACATGGATAGGTGGCGACATGGCTTTGTGCAATTGCAGTGGTTTGCCCAGGTGCGTGAATGTTGCTGCACATATACATGTGTATAAATATATATATATATATATATATACAGACAGATATGTATTTGTTACCCATGGCGTGTAGTTAGTACATGTGTACACGTGACCACATACATTCTGTGAAAGTAGTTGGATTGAGTGGTATCTCTAGTCAAAAAGCCGACACCTTCAGACTAGCAAAAGTGCGAACGTTTCTCGCCTGCCACTCTTTAGGTGGTGCTGAATCCACCTGAGTCTACCTCACAAAAGCGAAGGCTCGCCAAACTCAGCAGTGCCTCAAAGGTTGCTGATTATCAAACCCGAGCGTGGCGGATGTCCCCAAAAATGGGAAATTCGAGTTTGAGTCGCCTTCAACTAAATGGAACCCAGCGCAACACGGCGACTCCTTCATCAACGCGAGATCCTCGTCTTTGACATGGGTGTCTGGGTAGATGACCTCGACTCGGAAGCTGCAAGTCCGCGAAAGAAGCAGCGGTGACTGGGAACCTTTGTGCCAAAGTAAGATATTAAAATATCCTGCACTGCGAGTCTATCTTCCCTCCAAACACACACACACACAGACACACGGCGCAACACAACGACGACGACGACGACGACGACGACGACGACGACGACGACGACGACGACGACGACGACGACGACGACGACGACGACGAACAATCATGCGAAGACCAGCTCACATCTGTCAGAATCCATAACACTGTATGTATTGAACAACATTCACATGCTCTGTCTCGTCATGCTCATGTGCATGTGTCTGTGAGTGTGTCCCAGTGCTTGTGCCAATTTATTGAGCTTATCATTCTTCAGAACGATGCCTGTTGCCTGTCGTGAGGTCGAAGGCAGTCCACTCTCTTCGTGCCTAATGATGCTTGCCAACATGTTTTGGGCCCGTCAAAAAACTAACACGAGGTTTGGCTGCAGACTGATTACTGGGCTCTTGCACAAGAGCTCAACATGCAGTTTGAATCCAGAATCTGCACAAAACAACAACAACCAAAGTCCCAATCTTTCAGTGACCCAGGGAGAGAAAAAGGACGCCTTTTTTGGGGCTCATCATTTTAGGATTTGAACCCAACCAAAAGGGCTTCAGAGGGTGCACACCACCAGGGCAGCCGGAGCGGCATTCTTGCGAGCCTTCAGAAGCTCCGTGAGGTATTGAACCTGGCTGGAGGGTCTCGCAAGCCCGTGTTCAAGGGAAGCCAAAAGGAGAACAAGCCATGTTTAGGAGTTAGCCCATTTTTAGGGTCCCGACTGTTACATGCCGATTGAATCTTTGGGGATCTTCGGGGTAACGCGCTTTCAGGTTTCACATCCCAAAGGCAGAGATGATGAAACCTGAGTGGGGCTTCAAAAATGCAAAATCTGTGGCCCCAACAAAGGGCTCAGGCATGCATGCATGCGTGCAGGTAGGTAGGTAGGTAGGTAGATATGTATGTAGGTATGCATGCATGCATGCATGTATGTGTACCCATCAGCCTGATCCAATTTGTTGCAACATGTTTCATGCATAAAACATCCTGAACCTTGGCAGTACGTCGCAAATCACAGCCCCATTTGAACACCCGCCATTCAAGGGTCAAGGGATGAGCCATCTTCTTGGGATTGCAAGGTCTTGGACATAGAGAGCCTCTTGCAAGCAGCGGCCCCTCCTTGAGGCCCTTGTTCTTCTTGTTGGAAGTGTAGACCTCATAGGCATCGAAGTACCCGTTCTCGTGATCCTCTACCACATGCCTGGGGTAAGGAACGTTTATCTGAAAGGCAAAAGGCGAGACAATGGCAAGCAAAACGAGGCAACCAAGTCAATCTCCGCTTACTTTGGCCAGCACCTTATTTCAATCTTATACTGACCCCGAGATTGAAATCAACATAACTATTCTTGTCTATTACTTGTTGGAAGCAAATAAGCCCGCCCCCTCCCCCCCCTTCCCATGAGTCCTGCTGAGAAGACGCTTTTACGAGCAGCCGCCAACCTCTGCCTATTCTTGCGCTGACTGTAACAGAACTTGAACGGACACGTAAAGTGCTGCCCAAACCTTTTTGCAATGTGGGAGCACATAAACACTTCAACAGCCGGTTGGCAGCATGCATATAACATCAACTTCCTTGGCCAAGGCGTCACCCGCCACAACCAAAACCTGGCAGTGATTCTTAAAGTGCCCAAAACCATGTCTCACAAAATCTAACAGCGACTACACGTACTCTTGGATAATCTTTAGCCGTAAAGGATCCATTGATATGCCTGCATCTTTTCAAGGGGACCCGGCCAAATGGTGGTTTTCTTTTTGGATTCCCTTGAAAACCAACCAAAACAGGTTCATTTTAGTCGGCGAAGGCCGAAAGCCCCAAACGTTGCACGCCAGTTCTCCCCTCATTCCTTGCCATGGCGCTGGCGCCAAACATTGTGGCAGCCTCCCAGCGCCGCTCGAGGGTTTGGGGGGTTGGGTTTTCTTGGCTCCAGTAGATCGACATCCGCACAACCCTGAAAATGGTTTCAAGAGAACCCACCCCGAAGAGCAATTTCCTGAGAGCCTTCACTTTAAGGGTCTTCCACCGCAAGTGCACAGGTTCCTTTTCGGAAGGGTCGCTCGCTTCCATGTCGGACAGGCATTGAGCCCAAACGCCCAAAACCCGTTGACTCTTCGTTCTCGAGGTCTTTGTGGGCTGTACTACCCCGTGAAAGCAGGTTGGAGAGTGCAGGTGCACCTTGCTTTTGGTTGGCAAGAGGAAACAAAAAAAACACCACCGGTGTTGGGGTCCGAATAACAGTCTTACTTGCCCAAAGGACCTTGCAAATAAAAGGTCAACCTCTTGTGACCTTGACCAAATATGGATGCAAACGCAAAAGGTCAAAAGGTCAGCTTTTGGACATGTGAGAATTTTGACACACGCAATTTGACTAGATGGACAAAATCCACTTCGCACCACCTGGGACGCACGAAGCCCTGGCTTCGCCCATTCGCCGCGCTCGGTCCCTCGGTCCCTCGCGCCTCGCATCTGGTCCCCGTCCACCTCCGCAAAGCAGTCGAAGTCGAGGCCGAACTTCTCGGCGGCCAAGGGCGCAATCATGGTTTTGCCTGGCGTGGCGCGCGATGAGACCGTGGTTGCACCCCTCAGAGGGTTCTGGGTGCTTCAGGCTTTGAGTCTGTGTCTGCCAAAGAGCCTCGCGTCTGTGGCTGGGGTGGTTCTGTGCGAGGGAGGGAGGGAGGGGGGGGGGTGGGGAGGGCCGAGGTGAAGGGGGTGAGGTCCTTGCTTAAACCGCGTCTTTTCGTTATCCTTCAAGGTATGGTTTCTTTGAAGGCCTTCTCAAACCGCGTTCCGGTTGTAGGTCTGGGTCAAACTGCCTCATACATAAATAACTGTCTGTCTGTCTGTCTGTCTGTCTGTCTGTCTGCATGCCTGCCTGCCTGCCTGCCTGCCTGCCTGCCTGCCTGCCTGCCTCTGCCTGCCTGTTTGCCCGCCCGCCCGCCCGCCCTCCCGCCTGCCTGCCTGCCTCTATGTATGTCTGTCTGTCTGTCTGTCTGTCTATGTATGTATGTATGTATGTATGTAAGTATGTAAGTAAGTAAGTATGTATGTATGTATGTATGCATGTGTGTGTGTGTCTGTATGTCTGTATGTCTGTATGTCTGTATGTCTGTATGTCTGTATGTCTGTATGTCTGTATGTCTGTCTGTATGTATGTACGTATGTAGGTATGTATGTATGTATGTATGTATGTATGCATGTATGTATGCATGTATGTATGCATGTATGTATGTATGTCTGTATGTCTGTATGTCTGTATGTCTGCATGTCTGTATGTCTGTATGTCTGTATTTCTGTATGTCTGTATGTATGTATGTATGTATGTATGTATGTATGTATGTATGTATGTATGTATGTATGCATGTGTGTGTGTGTCTGTATGTCTGTATGTCTGTATGTCTGTATGTATGTATGTGTGTGTATGTGTGTGTATGTGTGTTTGTGTGTATGTGTGTATGTGTGTATGTGTGTATGTGTATGTGTGTGTGCGTATGTGTGTATGTGTGTGTGTGTATGTGTGTGTTTGTGTGTTTGTGTGTATGTGTGTGTGTATGTGTGTATGTGTGTATGTGTCTATGCATGCATGATTTGTGTACAAACTGTATGTTGTGTTAATTCATGCATTTGTTGGACCATCATGTTGTTTATGTATTTATTTATGAACTTGCTTAAATTCGTTTTGCGTGTTTAGTTGTGCATTACTTACTTGTTTATTGGTTGAGCCACGTGTTTCTTCAGGTCCTCGTTTCTTTACTTGATTGACTCGCCCTTTTTTTTCAAATTCTTGAGGACCTGTGCTCGCTTGCTTTTTTTACTGGTCTCGTTGTTTTGTCCATGAACCATTGGGCCCTTCGGGGCGGGAGGGCCTATCCTCGGGCCACCAATCCAAGCCACCCTGGGCTTATCCTTGGCTTGTTCTTGGCCAGCCCTAGGGAAGCGGACACAAGAAACTCCAAACATAGGCGTCCCTTTCGGAGAATACATGGCCCTGGGAGACTGGACTACCAGGTAAACCACACATCGCCCTCTATTTTCACCCAAAGCGAAGAAAAAGGACACCTACCGTGGATGGCCGAAATCCATTTCGCACCACTTTGAAATCATGGTTGAAACCTGCGGTGGTTGGTATTTACCGAAGGAATCGTATCATTCCAAGGTGGTGCAGTATAAATCATCCCCAACTCATTGTTAGTTGCCATTTACCATGCAGGGGAATCGTATCCTTCCAGGGTTTTCCTTATAGGTGCGAAATGGGTTTCGCCCATCTATTCTACATGTGCTGAAATGCTCACATGTCCAAAGCCGAACTTTTACCTTTTGCTCGTTTTGGTCCATATTTAGTCAAGGTCGCAAAACCAAAAAGGACACCGAAGGCCTGCACCGCTGGGGCCGATAATCACCAGCACGGCCGGGCGCTCAGGAGCCTCCACCGCCGGCACCGCGTCCAGGCGCGCCGCCTGAGGAAACGCGCAGGGAGACAAAGCACGTGCTCCCCGAGTGGATGGCCCAACAAACTAACCAAACCCTGAGTGGGCCCAACAAAGGCAACCAAACTTGTGGCATCTAAAATGGTCCAAGCCCAAAAAGTGATTAAAGTCCAGAAACTCGGGGCGTGAGTACAGGCAAAACCCATTGATTGTTGACCTCAGGTGGAAAAAATGGGGCTTCGGGCGCTGTGAAGCACGATCATTTCGAAGGTTTCCCCAAGAGGACATGATGACATGGGAACAGTCGATTGCATAGACTGGACATGACCAAACACCTCATGTGGGTGTGTTCTTGTGCTTTGCCAATTTGCGCGTTTGGCTTGCAAGATATTTGCACCTGTGACCTTCCTGCGCACATGTGGGTTTTGTAAGCTGCACATGGCTGTGCCGATTTTGGGGACCCCGGCTTTCTTTCGGTGTCCGTTTGAAACCGCAAAAAGGGGGTGGCGGTCTACCCGCATACCAGCCAATACCTACTGAGGGTGTTCTAGCGTCAGAATTGTTCCGTTTCTTAGTACCCTATCCTTCTGGTGCGGTGAGCCAACAACCCCTCAAAAAAGACACACACACACACACATGAGCCCCATTACTTGTTTCCCCAGTTCAGATATGGGAAATTGGGCGGTCATGGCGGTCTGCACCTTGGCTCCTTGGCCGAAGATTGGTGTTGTCCGGTGTCCTCCCCAAAGCGAAGGCAGAGTACCAATCATATTCTCAGTTTCTCATGGGTGTGTTGTTCTTTTGGGGGAACCCCTTTTCTGGACGAAACAAAAGAGAAACCAAAGGCACAGGCCTTTTTGGCTCTCAATGAAGGGGAACCTATCTGAGTGGTTTTTTTCTTCTGGGGTCCCGAAATTGGACTATTCTGAATGCTTTGAAGGAGAAACAAAAAGGAAACCAAGGCCTACAGTCCCGAATTTCGAAGATCAACCCACGAGACCTCTCCACCTTGCTAGTTTCAAGCTTGCGTTGCACGCGTTGCCGAAACCGCGTAACTTCGGACCATCCAGGGATACTTTTTGTCAGGGTTCCTCCTGACTACCGTCAAGGTAGACTGTACTCGATCTCCCAAACCGGGAACACCTGGGCTTGAGTACCTTGAGGCAGTCAAAGATGGAACCCTGCGTTCAGGTGTCTTACTTGAACTTGAGCTTCCGACCTCCCAGTTTGGTTGTTCAAAGGTTTGAATCTGGTTGCCATGCCCATTTGAGCGTATCTCCTGAAACTTCCCTTCGTCTAGTGTTGGGCAGGAACCATCAAAATGGTCCCTTTTTAGAAACCAGAAATGTGGGGTGTTCCATCATTTCTCAAAGTAGGATCTAAACTTGTCCTCTGTTCATTCCAAGCCAAAGATGTCTCAGATGGTCCAGCACGTTGACCCAGAAAAGAGTTCGGAACCTGCGTGGGGACCCCTAAACCCCGTTCAAACAACCCACTTATAGTTTGAACCCCTGCATGGGGACCCCTTGTTTAAGCCATGTTTAAACAAAATGGGTTAAACAACCCACTTAGTTTGAACAGCCCCTTCTTTGATCTCCCTTTTTCCAGGGGCCCAGGCCCTCCCTGGCTCCCGCCTGCCGCACTGCCCGGAGCTCGTCTTCGCTCATGTCTCGGCTTAGAGCGGCCGCATCCGGGAACTCGGGATGCCACACGCGGCCTCGCGTACCAAACGAAAGCGCAACCCAAAAATCGGGGGTCCTACGTGGCAACATGGGCGGCTCGTCTTTTTTGAGGCTGCCCTTGGTTGATGAGTTTAAAAGCAGCCCAACATGAAAACCACCATTCTTAATTATAATTTCATTTTTGGGGGGAGTCGCCCGTAAAAAGCGCACTCACATGGTGACATATATAGGCCTTACTACCCCAGTTAAGCCAGATGGAGAAGTCCAACTGTTTGCCGGGAAACCCGGCATTTCCCTCGAAGCCTGAAAAGGTGAAAGGTCAAATCGAAGAGCAAGACAAGTCCTCAGAAACAATGATTCCTGAATGGGGAAGGGATCCCTATAATCCTGATCTGCAACACGTAGCCAGACACCACTACAACAAGGGAAACCAATAGCCAGCTGGCATAAGGATTAAGAATATATCTGTTGGTACAAAATGGAAGCGCCGTCGGCCTTCTCTGTTCGACAATGTTGCTGCTCCAAATGGCAAGTGCCTTGATTCCGGCCTTTTGCCAACCAAAGGCCGCCCCTCAATCCAGAAAAGGTTCAGAAGGAACCTTACGGGGGCTCTGATCGAAGGATGAGACCAATTCTGGTAGGGCCCCGGGTAACCAGCGTTGCTGCCCTCTAGGTTTTACATCGTCAGAGGGGTAACTGCATCCAGTGGGTGAGCCAAGGAACTGATTAGCCCCACTGATGGACAACATCCGCTTCACACCAGTTGGGATCCAACCTCGTGAAAAAGAGAAAAAAAAGGAAGGAAGGGAGAAGTCACTAAGCCGACCACAGTTTGGATTCAGAAGATGGGCCTTGAAGCAGGTGCCAAAATGACACCCTCATGCTTGATAGCTACACCTACCCAAAAAAAAACAAGCAGGTTCGGGTGGGAAAAACCCTCCAAGCCCCCAAGGCCCTGCCTGGCAGCGCCTGCCGCGTGGCGAAGTCCCAGCGCACCCCAG